CCAACCCTTCTTCTTCCTTCATCACCCACACCCGTCCACCATAGCCAACCACCTCCAACCCTTCTCCTTCCTCCATCACTTACACCCGTCCACCATAGCCAACCACCCCCAACCCTTCTTCTTCCGCCATCACCCACGCCCGCCCACCATAGCCGACCACCTCCAACCCTTCTTCCTCCTCCATTACCCACACCCGTCCACCATAGCCGACCACCTCCAACGCTTCCTCCTCCTCCATCACCCACACCAGTCCACCATAGCCGACCACCTCCAACCCTTGGATCGGATCTTTCATGACTACTTGGATAAGTTTGTCATCGTGTACCTCGATGACATACTTATTTTTAGTAAGACTGTCGAGGAACATGTTGCGCACTTAGACAAAGTCCTCAGTCTCCTTCGGCAGCACAAGTTCAAGATCGACGGGGAGAAATGCGAGTTCGGTCGCACCCGGATCTTGAACTTAGGTCATGAGATTTTCGCGGAGGGTTTGAAGCCCGATGACGTGAAGGTGGCCAGCATTCGTGGCTGGCCGCGTCCTCAGTCTATTACTGAGATGAGGTCTTTCTTAAGGATGATCGACTACTATCGCAATTTTGTGAAGAACTATAGCATAGTGGCTGCCCCTTTGACTGACCTGACTCGCCTTGACACCCCATGGGAGTGGACAGACAGGTGTGAGGCCTCTTTCAGTCATCTGAAGCATGCGTTGACACACCACGAGTTCTTGAAACTTCCCGATCTTGACAAGCCGTTTATAGTCACCACGGATGCTAGCCAATATGGCATAGGCGCCGCGCTCGCGCAGCAGGAGGGGCCAAAGTTGAGGCCAATCGAGTACATGTCCAAAAAGATGCCGTCTCAGAAGTTGGCTAAGTCCACTTATGAGAAAGAGCTCTACGCGATTTACAAGGCACTGACCCATTGGAGACATTATCTCCTTGGGAGGTTCTTCATCGTCAGGACTGATCATCAGACCCTGAAGTGGATGAGAACCCAGCCAGTACTCTCTGATGCCTTGAAGAGTTGGATCGAAGTCATTGAACAGTATGACTTCGAACCCCAGTATCTGAAGGGGGAGTACAACAAAGTTGTTGATGCCTTATTACGTAGGTCTGATTTCTCTGGTGCACTGATTGCTGAGTTCAGGCTTGCGGACAATGTAACTCACTCTTTGGTGGAAGCCTATCACGAGGATCCGTTTATGTCTGAGATCATTCGCAGACTTGAGGCAAAGGACAAAGTGACTTCTACCGATTTTGAGTTGGTCAACGGCTTGCTGTTCCTTAAGAAGGCCGGGAACAAACTCTTGTGTGTGCCTAGTTGGGAGTCTTTGCGTAGTTTATTTTTAGGAGAGTGTCATGACGCCACAGGACATTTTGGATATAAGAAGACTGCAGCCAATCTGCTGCAGCAGTTGTGGTGGACCACGATGATGAGAGATGCCAAGCTGTACGTGGAGACTTGTCAGGTCTGTTAGAGAGACAAGCCGCATACACAGGCCCCTCTTGGGCTTCTCAAGCCCCTTCCAATTCCAGAAAGGCCCAGTGAGAGCCTGTCCATGGACTTCATATACACGCTGGTCACCAGCAAGAGTGGAACGAGACACATCTTCGTTATCGTGGATAGGTTTAGTACGTACGCTAGGTTAGCTGCGATGCCAGAGAGAGCGAAGGCCGAGTACGTCATTAGGCTGTTTAAGGAGAACTGGGTCAGAGATTTTGGCTTCCCAAAGTCTATTGTGAGCGAAGGCCGAGTACGTCATTAGGCTGTTTAAGGAGAACTGGGTCCAAGTGAGCTGTGGAAGGCCGCAACTGCAAAACAAGGAACGCAGTTGCAGATGACATCTGGAAACCATCCAGAGGCAAACGGGCAAGCAGAGCAGTTAAACCGCGCTGTACAACACCTGTTGCGGCACTACATCAAGCCCAATCAGGTGGACTGGGATGAGAAACTTGCTCTCATCGCCAGCTTGTACAACAACGCTGTGCACAACGCCACTGGTGTGTGCCCTAACAGTTTGCTACTGACTTTCAACCCTAGACTGCCCCTAGACTTTCTACTGCCTGAGAACCAGCCAACTGCTGCACCTGGCACACTAGAATTTGCTTATCGATATGAACAACTGATGCTTGCGCAAGGCACAGGCGGCGATGATAGAGTCAGAAAACAAGCACCGCCGCCCATCAACATTCCAGATGCGGGACAAGGTCTGGGTTAAGTCTTCAGAAGTGGGACAGGAGCACGGGATCTCCCGCAAGCTCGTGCCACAGTATTTTGGGCCCTGGGAGGTTCTGGATATAGTCGGAGATGATCCGGATGGTCCATCATATGTAGTTCAGATCCCTGGTCACCTTCGCACTTAACCCGTCTTTCACACCATTCAAGGAAACTGACCAGTTTCCCTCGCGATGCTCAATGCTGCCCCCAACAATGGATGGAGAGGTCGACATCGATGGCATCGTGGATCCGGTTCCAAGACCTTCAAGTAGGGACGCCCTCTGAAGCCGAAGCTGCAGTACGGCGTTCGGTTCAGACACCATACTGATCCAAAGGAGGATAGATGGTTCACTCGGGAGGAACTAATGCAGACTGCTCCACATGTGTCGCCCACTACGAGAAGTTGTTGCAGAAAGGAAAGCGCCAACTTTAATGAACTTCTCAGAGGACTAGCGAAGTATGGAGGAGGGAATGTGAGGCACAAAGCCTCGATAAGCCCTACTGGGCCCATATTTGCAACAGTGTCGGCGCCCTAAGTGAAGGCAGGCTCGACAGACGACAAGAGGCCTATTTTGGACTACTTCGCAACTGGGGGAAAATTCAGGCAGTTGCGCAGCTCCAGTTGGTTGAAAGCGCCCAGGCCCTGCCCTCCTTTATCAAACGCATCTGAGTCAGGCCCTAGGCGCGATACGCAGCATGGACCCAACTCAGGCTATGTGCAGTTGGGCACGGGTAACAGTCACATGCCTTGGGCCTGACCCGTTTGGTCTGGGGCTCAGCCTCTCTGGGCCTACCGGAAGCGTCTGGGAAGGGGATGAGGGCAGCCAGGCTGCACGCAAGGCAGGCAGGCCACTTCCATTTAGGAAGGGCCTGCACACGCATTCGACATCCGGGCACTGGCTGCATGTTGGGCAAGCGCTGCTGCGCTAACACTGGCCAGCGCTCACTCGCTCACGGGCGAGCTGGAAGGAGCAGGCAGCCATAGCCGAGCTGCGTTGCTGTATGCTGGATGGGGCGCGTGGTGGTCCTTGGGTGCATGTGGCATCTGTGAGTTGGGGTACGAGGTTGTGAGTGATACGAGAGACATACCTGGTGGTTGAAGCGTACGGCGTTGGCCGATATCTGCTCGTACTTCAGGGAGCTGTTGACGTCATCAGCGACATTGTAGATTAGGCTAGATAGGATCTGCCATCTGTAGTCTGGGCGCCAAGCGCCATATAGGATATCAACATTGGTTCTTCGTTGATGATGATGGGACAATTCCAACATTGTCAATTATGAGCTTTTGCTGTGTTCTTACTTGGTGGAACTCATGATGCAATTCTGCAATTGGTTCGAGGTCACGACTATCTGGTCTCATGTGTATGATGTTGTTTGATTTCTGAAGTTCGCTATTGCTCATTTTCCTTGCACACGTGAGACCTGTTGTACTATCAACCCTCCCAGAAGGGACACTGAGACTGCTGTCACATCATATGTAATCGATTCTCATCATAAGGCTGCATTCGCAGAGAGGAGGACCAAACAGACACCATAATGACATCTTGAGACCTGCTCCTTCAGCCCTGTCCTGTGCAAAAGTAGGTTCCTCACTCTGACTTGAACTTGGTGGTGTTGACCCCCCCCCTGAGTGGACCTCAACCAACAATTTTCATGGATCATTATTTCCCCCCCCCCCAATATCCTTAAACACTCTTTAACCGAATAGCGGGTCTCGCGTAACGCTCCCGCGAGATCCCGCTTTCCGCTGTTGGGAAACGCGGTGGGACCGGTAGGCGGGCCCGACAAACAAAGCATGAGGCGTTCGGGGCGGGCCGGCCCAGCGAGGCGCGGGTTGGACGGCCCGATAGAGGTTTCGGGGATCCGCGCCAGATGGTTCCCGAAACATCTATCGGACCGTCCAGCCCGGAGCCGCTCGACAATCTTAACGGTTGTCACCGGGAGGCCCATTGCCGAATTTCGGGGACCGTGAATCTCGTGCGGGGAACCAGGAAAATGGAGTGTTTTTTTTTTTTCGTTTCTTCGCTCGGCACCAGTGGAGAGCGAATCTTGAAGTTTCGTTTCGTCAGCCAGTTTGCATCAGTCGTATTTGAGATCTCCCGCATGTCGGCCAGTTTGTGCACTGAAGATCCCAGCACGAGAGGGGTAGCCATGCGAGAGAGAGAGAGAGAGAGAGAGAGAGAGAGAGAGAGAGAGAGAGCGTGCATCGTTCGGTGAGGGAGCGCCTGCATTGTTCGACCTTCAAGTGGTCGGGAACAAAGAGAGAGAGAGAGGGAGGGAGCTACATGGTATTAAAGAAGGCAGTTGGCAAGGACTCGAAGGAGGGGGAGAGAGAGATCGCGTGCATCGTTTGAGGCAGAGAAGAAGTGAGAATAAGTGATAATTATCTGGCAAGAATGGCAGATCAAGGTATGTTTGCTTTGTTTTTTTTCATTTTTTTCTCTTTTTTTCGCGGCTTGTCGGTTTTGTTTTTTCGGGATGTAGGGAAAGGGGAGTCAGCACGGGGAAAAAACAAAACAAAACGGATCGAGTCGAGATCTGAGAAACTCATGATGGAGGACGAGGAGAACAATGGGGATGAATCGAGATCGGGATCGGGGGAGGAGGGAGAGGTTCGGAGGGCAGAGTGGAATTGAAATCCGGAAGAGGGGGAAGTTCGGTGCGGTAGGGAGGGAATCGAGATCGGGGGGAAGAGGAGGGGGGGGGGGGGGGGGGGGGGGGGGGGGGGG